TGTGTAGCCACCTCAATGTTCAAATAGAAATTGCAATATCCATTTTCCCGACGCGTTTAAAAGTGAACCTTGTTCGCAGATGAAGTAAGGCTGTTATTTAAGTATCGTGGGGTAACATTTTAAGGCTCTTTACATTTGCGAAAGGAAAATGTTGTCTTTTTCGAACCAGTTGCAGTTAAAATCCTCCGTCCCTGTTGCCTGCCCGTTGTGGCTGGGCATATCTAAAATCATCTGGACCAAGTAAAGCGATTACTTCAGCAGCGACTTTTTGAAAATGTGCAAACTTATTAATTTCGGCATTTAGCCGGCAAATTGCGTTCCCAACAAATTACTTTGGAATTAAATAACATCAAACAATTTAAAATAACGTCCTCTGGTTTACGAAGCTGTGTATTTGTATAAAGCGAACGAAGAGTGTAGGTAGTGTGCAGTCTAGCAGTTATTCGTCATCCCACTCAGGTCGTAACAACGTACTGAGGAAAACTAAGTTTATTATTCCACCTACGAGATTTCTAAATGTATTAAATTTAGCTAAACCTAATTGTAATATAGGTTACGTATCGTACGTGTATTAAGGGTCTTTGTTCTGCCAATCGAATTCCTTTTTATGGTTGGAAAACTCTCCATTAACTTTTTGCGCTCTGGGCGAAGCGAGATTGAGTGGTAGACTCTTATTGACTAAAATCCAATCTGTTCTCATAGAAGTGTCTTTTGACACTTTGCCCGTGTTGGATTTTGGTGACGCCTACCGCCATTAATATTTTCGAACTTGTTGTAATATAAACTATTCTGCTTGTTTATATAGCAACAAAAGACCACTGCACTGATTTTGTAAGAATAATATTCTACTTTGAACTTTATTTTTGATAAGTAATCAAGGTGCTATACCTAACCAAAGAGTCAGATGCGAATAGTCATGTAGCGATTCAAAAGGTTCCAATACACATAATTTCACTAATACTAAAAAAGCATTCATATTAGAATGAAATAGTATGATAAACTGAAGATTTTATCCATGTGGACAATATATTCACATCGTGATCAAAAAACGCAGGACCTTTAAACAATCAATACAAATCGGATCGTCAAAGTAAAATCATTGGAAGATTAGCAACAAAAACAAATGTTTGCTTTGTTAAAACGAAGCGCCTGCGCATCTAAGATTCATACAAAATATTTCATGGCCATAAACCATTGCCTAAAAAGCAGGATCGTCGATTTCCAAACAAAAACGAAGAGCGTTTAATTTGCAAAATTCAAATCACCCGCGCGTCGAAAAGTCCAAAGCGAAATAGTGCAATTGAGTGCGTGAGCGCATCCAGGAATGTCGGGACTCAGGACATCGTCCCGGACCGGTTTCACACTTCACCGCTCGAACTTACCGTATTGCACATTCAACTAACTGGTGAATATCATAATGATGTGGTATTTTCTATTTCTAATCATTACCAGGCACAACTACCAATTCAAAATTTAAATATGTCTGAAAATTTCTAACGATAGAGTTAAATATTTATTTTGTTTTTGAAATTGTATTGATAAAGAGGTAGTAAAGGAGACTATTAGTTACAGAAACTATTTATTGTATTATGTGAAAAGAAAAAGTACTGAAGCGTAAGGTCTATGCTGAAAACATAACCAAGAGAGAATTAATTTCTCATAAGAAGGTCCTGATAAGCTTTTTGGTGATGATTTATTCTAACCTGACTCGGCACAGTTAGCAGTATTTACTTAAAAAGAAAATAACCATCCATCTATAATGACTTCTGCCTAACGCCTTTCTCAGTAAGACATGTGATTTATCAGTTTTCTTTTGCCGAGAATATCAATAGTCCCTTACCAACACGTTGAAATATGGCTCTTCGTATTCACTACAGATTTTACGACATATTGACCATGATCAGTTACACTTTATGGACAAGATGCTAGGCGATACAATCTACCCAAATATCTTCATGTTGAAAATGAAGAGGTTATACATTTAATTCTATCATAATTTAAACGAAAATAGCTGTGCTGGTTGTAGTAATGCTCTTTCTTCGTAATGTCCAACGTTCATGTTTAAACGACTCGCGGTTTAAATAGTAAAATTCAATTAAATTTCATACTAACCCAAGAATACTTCATTTCCTTCGACAGTTTCAGCAGAAAATTGCATTACAACACCTCATGACTTTCTTAGTAAACATTAACAGTCATAAGTTGCAAGAAATACTAATTTAACCGTTGACATTTGAGTACTAAGTAATGCATTCAACACACTAATGAACTAGTATTGATCTTCAGCCGTACGGCCATTGTGCGACCCATGTACGTGATTATATACAGGGTGGCACACTCGTATACCTATAATCGAATTAGCAGTGCCTATTACGCTCTGAGTTGGATGGAACTCGTATTGTTAATTAGGTGACTTAACTCCCTTGTACTATGGTTGATTTAGCCGAAACTTCTGTACTTATTTGGTGACTAGTAAAATCCATGAACTATTGAAAGAAAGGATCTTTTTTAAATTTGGCTTTTCAAGTTTCTAGTTTTCACAAAGTCACATGAGGTCGCGAGCTGCAGGGGTTGATTTTGGAATGCGCTTGACTGAGTATTATTTTGTATTATAATTATAGGCGTAAAAGTTAAACGTTTCATTTAAATAAACTAGTACCTAGCAAAGGAAACCAGCCAACTCTAGATTTCACTCATAAAACCAACTGGACATTAAGTCTCACAAGCGCCATCTATTGAGAGCAAAAACTAAGTGCTTCTAGTTTAAATAATAAAAAGGCACCTGTAAGGCCGATCAGGGGACTGCAGAAGTGTCTTTTTATAAAAATGGAGTGCATGATCGTCCATCATGACACACGTACACACATAAACATTTGAGTATAACACGTTAAGTGGTACAAGTAAGCTTGTGGACAAGATTTACGTTTTAGTCTCCTGCTGTTAAGCTCTCCCCATACATTATTATGTTTAGTTTTAATAAATTATTTTGCGCCCTGTAAATTACGCTTTATGGAGATAACGAGGTAGCTAAGTACCTTTGTATATGGAGTAGGTACTTACCAACTTATGTGACTAATGTGTGACCACTATGCAATCAAACTTTTATTTCGCGTTTTGTTAAGGCTTTTAGTAGGCATGATGAGTGGAGATTTCAATGAAATTTCGACTATAACAATTTCTATTCATATCCTTACTATTTGGTATAGTAGAATATTCTATAACCAGCATTATCCCAATAACTATACCTATAATTTTTAGTCAGCATTGAAGAAAGGCCGCAGCTAATACTAAGTAGAATTTAATAAATATATACATTAATTAGCGATCACTGAAGATTTAAAATGTCTTTCGTACCTGACCGTACCTGCAAGAGCAAACACAATTCGGCTTTCTCATCATACTACACACTAGGTGCGTAGTTTATGACTACATTAATTATGCTTAAGCATATCCTAATTACTGTAATGGTATTAGCTTGAAGCGCGAGGGCGGTCAGCGGAGAGAGGGGCGATTCACGTGCTTCGAAACACTGATGTGAATTCCGTATAATTATGTATAGACATAAATACTTGGCATTATGTCGGAAACAAAGCGATTTACTAGCGAGGTAATTAGTTAAGATCACGTTATCGTCAGCTGTTCTATTGAGGAAGTTAGTTAATCAAGCGACGCACCTTGTATTGTGTGGTTTAAGGAAATTGAATTTAGGTTGAAAGTAGTTTGCATAAATTATCGGTTCATTTTGGTGATTTGATTTGATTTCGTCAATCATGTTGTCAGTTACTTACTTTCCGTGTGTATGTCTCCATAGGAAATTATTCGGTGATAACACGTTTCACTATCACAATAATAATTATAGACACTTAAATAATTACTTCGATAATAGATACTTCAATAATTAAAGCTATATTTAACTAACTTCATGAATGCATTAAAACTGACATCTCTATGCACTACATTCACACGCATAAACCGACTAAAAATAAACGATTTGTATGGCTATTAATTAAGCAGGACGGTTTCAACGACTTTTTGATGGACTTATCAACTAAATGATTTTTTTACGGACATGCCTCAGTAGAATGCCTTTGTAGAAGTATGTATAAAAGACCTTTAAGTATCTGTAGGAGTAATTAATTTTCACGTGTCGGATCTGACCTTTTAGATTACTAAATTAGCACCGGTCACTGATCACCTGTAACTACAAATACATCGCACTGGGCTAGTTACGTTTAAATGCACTCAGCACCATTGACACTTGATAGCTTCAACATTTCTAGTAAAAGTTCGCTTTTGAGGAAATTTTTAAAGAGTTATGGTGTGAGGAATATCACACAGTGTGTCATCTTTGTAATTAAGCAAAGAAGGCGTCAGAAGACGGGGGGTTGCGCCGAGGAGAATGTTCTCGGATCTCATTTCCATGCAAATGAGGGTAGCACTTGTTATACATCAGATGACGGTAGGCAGACGCGATAACAGCACTGCCGAGCGACGAGACGACGTATAACTCGGTCGGGTTATACTTGATCGATAAGTAATACGTTATGATAATGACTTCGACATGCCTCACACTATTTAGACTTGAGACGACTCTTAATGAAAAACAACACTCATGGAAGGAGATTCAAAATTGGAACTTAAAGAACTTTTCGTCACGATGTCGCTAAATCGATATAAAATTCAAGACTTAACTTAATTAGCGAACTGTTGTATAATCTTTGGGACTGAGTTTTACAACTTCAGTTACTCTAGCTCACTCTTAGCTCTAATGTTAGCCATAAGTTTTTGTTTAAATTGGCTAGTTTTTTCATTAACAAACTTGCTGAACTTGCAGTATCGTAACAAAATAAGAAGTGACTGTATTCTTAGAAAAAAACAAGTTTCTACATCCAGACCCAATCGCAATTTGTTTTTTTTCTACAACCATGCTTACCTTGTATCTTCTTTATGCTCTCTTTCATTCTGCATTATAAAAAAAACAATAACATTTTACAAATACTTTCAGTCCTTTAATTGTTACATCAAAGCTATCTAACTTAACCTAATTCTTAACATCCAAATGTCTTTGAAAAACAACATAAACTTTCATGTACTCTCCTTTTCTTTTTCAATGTCATCAATCAGTTGTAGTATTCCCATCTTTAATTTTCTCTTCTCTCTGATCGTAAAGTTCCTTATGTCGGGCAGTATACTTTTGAAGAATATGAGATCTTCATTATCATCATCTGTACTTGAAAGACCTTCAAATGAGAACTTCCTCTTCTTATTTCTATCATAAGATTCACCACCTGATCTTGAAGACTGCACTGTGTCTGTTTCATGCTGTTTGTCTTCTCTGGTGCTCACATCAGGTTTGATGTCAATCTGATTCCATTCTTCTTCATGATAATCATTTGTGTCGTCAACGCCATTATCCGTAACGTAGTTACAGGGATCGTTGTGTGTTGTTTCTGATTTATCTGGATCTTCTTGTTGTTGCCTAAAAATTGTCAATTATTAATTACCATGATCAATCGGAGGGTCCTCATACTCATTTCAATTTGTAGGAACTAAGCCATTGTAGTTAAATTTGCTTACATTTTCAAAAGTACCTAAAATACAAAGAAAGTAGAAACAAGAACTTACCCTTTAGTAGACCTTACAAAGGGTTCCAAAAATCTTAAGTGATCGTACAGGTAATATTTTTTGTAGGTGCTCTCATTGTAGCTCAATGCAAGTTTCGCTTTGTATCTACTGAATGAAGACCTTATTCCTTTCCATTTCACCTTCAATTCTTCAACTGCAAACAAAATTTTTAATTGTATTGTTTCATTTAGTAAGTTTTATGTCACACACACCTACAAACATCACCAGTAGGATAATAAATATATATCACACAAGCTTGAATAGTGACTTCCTGCAGATTTTTGGTTTAAAAACTATCCTATGTCCTTTCTCGAGTTCCAAACTACGTCTGTACCAAATTTCACACAAATAAAATTCAGAAGTTTAATCGTGAAGAAAAGACATACAGAGTCACTTTCGCATTTATAATAGTAGTTGGATTGGATTTGGATACTACTACTACTACATAATACTGTAAATGTTTTATCTAATTTTATATAATTTTACAATTGGGAATCATTTTACTAATGAACGAAAATAATTACACAAAATTAAGAACCTATCATTGTAATAATAATAACATTGATTGAAAAATACGTTCGTGTTGAATAATGAATTTCGTAAAAATGTTCATACTTACTTGTGCATTCTTCATTTAATTCAGTTCTGACATGATTCGCCACTTTAGTCCAAGCAATCTCTGAAAATCTAGTTCTGTATGTGTCCAGACTTGCGTCGTAGATTTCTGGATATCGTTGGATTATTTTTACAAACTCAATCATTAGATTTTGATTATCTTTCATGGTGGTAACCTGTTGAATAAATTGAGAATGTTAATAAGAATGATTCGTTCATTTTATATCTTGGAAAGAATGCTTTGAGGAACGCGTTAAAAAATAAGCTTTACTCAAGGTTAAATAATGAACAAAATTCAAAACGCACACTGATACCTAATGATATTTTTCTTTTTGGAAATCGAAATTAAGAAATTTAATACTGTTCTACTCGACTTAAAAACATTGTAATTAAGTAAATTTAAAATTGTATTACTGGTTTCATTAATATTTCATCTTTATTCTTTGTTGCATTTAAATTAATTCGTATTAACAGTAACACTGTGTCAATCCTCGTGGTACGCCTACATACATCCAGACGCCACGTGCCTAAAGGTTACGGAAAAAGGAGGTAAGATAACAAATATATTTTGAAAATGATTCCGATTCTAAGGATTTTTTATTGAGATCTAGTTCTTATATTAAAGTATATAGATTCTTATATTATATAGCACTGTTTTTATTCATTTTTGAAGATAAAGACTACATTAATAAAATACATTACTAATATGATAAAAGTTGTTTAAACAATTGATGATTGGTCGGTTAGTTAGAAGAAATTAACACGAGTTGCGTGCCAAGTTATACATACATATAATGGCGCCAAACACAGATTTGTGTAGGTGCGTACGTAGTGATAAGTTGTTTATAAATAAAACACAAATAATTTAACAAGAAATTGCAGTACACATTGCGTTTTTTGTCCTCCGTTTAGCACATTATAATGTACAATTGGCAGTTACATTAAAAACAATTCTTTACATTCAAAATTTAGGTAAATTATTTGAAAAGCTAATTATACAACAACATGTTGTGTAGGTATTGATAAAATAAAATCTGATACTGAAATAATATAAAACTTACGTAAGTAGTTCCAGAGTTGTTATTAAGGAAAATATTTGTTTACACGATAAAACACTGTGACCTTCCTCTCAACTCGTAGTATACTGACGCGCCACAGAGCCACACAGCGCTCACTGCGTCCTATTTTAACACATACATCGGAGAGAGACGGAACGATGCGGTCGAGCGACGCCACAGGGACGCGATGTTGCCATGCCGCTCTAACGTCACCTACATGCCAGATATTTGTTCAACACACACATTTCCACGCCCGACATAAAATAAACTACAACATCGCTGCATAAGACTCAAAATACAATGTAGATTTCGTGTAGATAAAGTTTGTAGCCGTTCGGCGCGAAACTCTTCGTGACTCACGCCGTATCGCTGCCGACATAGTCACTTGTCAACGAGAATTTTTGTGTTAATTATACATTCATGGATAAAATCACGATTAGTGTTGAACAACTACTGAAAATTATATTGTATATTTAGATTTTTTTAATTGTCAGCTCGTTTTGTCACGCTTTCTGTTCGTGTGTTATTTATTGCGGATATTTTAAATATAGAAGCTCTTACTTTTTTAACGGTTAAATTCTAATACAGGATGTTTTATTTTGTTAGTCTTGCTGGATACTGTTTTTTATTTTATTTAATATAGAAGGTAGAAAGATCAGGTGTGAGTGAAAGAATGTGGAATGTGCCAGCTGCTCAAGCAGTGTACCTACCTAAGTAGTTTGAGGGAAAGGGTTTTTTTGCATCATGAAGCTGTAGGTAATTGACGACAAGCCTACTATTATCCTGTTTGATACTATCGACTTTTACAAAACGCGATTTTAAGTAGTTGTAAGTAAAGTAGTACTTTGACACTAAATGCTTCTCAGACCATGTATTGTTAAAATGTGTAAAAGGCATTATTTTTTAATCTTTTGAAGGAATATAATTGAAGGTGAAGGGTTAAGAAGTTACAACAATAATATGTTTAAGTAATGTTTGTTGTATAGGCGTCTTACGGTTTCTTGTTAGATGTAGGGCCATCCCCCTCCCAGGGGTGTCGTAGAAGTAATAAGGGATAATGCAGGGGTAGACACCATCTTCGTGCAAACTAATAACTCGCTTCTAAGTAATAATGTTATTTAAGTTCGTCAAGCAGTTACGTCTTGACGCTTTCGTGCTGTGCAATCTTCTAGAAGATTCCTTACCTACTTTTCCAGACCTCTTGATGGTAAAATTCACATAGCCACTAATTAATATCTGCATTCTTAGTTCTCTTTGGTTGATTAGTCCTTAAAACTGTTCTTCAGAAGACAGACAATAACAAATTGACAGTCGAACCATCCAGAACGATTTGCACCTGTATTTTTCAAGCATCATGTCACGTATATTTATATCGACAGTAAAATAAGAAAAAAATATTTGACGATCATTAAGAAGGAAAAAGAAGCAAAAGTGAAACCACAAATCGTATTTTACAATAAAATTAGTTGAGTGTGATACATGGGGTGTTTGTGTTAGTGTGAGTGGCGCGCACATGCAAAGTGATCGCGACATCTGCCGCAGAGCGGCGCACGCGCACGTGGCGAGAACACCTTTTGTCTACCGTATGCACCCACCTTTTTACCCAATGAGAACTATTTATAGACTGGCACACATCTAAAATTATATTAATGGTGGACATTGCGTGAGTATCCAGTCAAATAAACACAAATAGCAATGATGATAGATGCCTAGAATGGCAAAGGTATAAATTATGATATGCGACAATTTTATTTATGAATTTATATAAACCATTTTTACGTATAATAAATGATGTGTAATGATCCTGTTTACGTGCAAAGTTACTGATATTTTTATATATTAATTATTACAGTTTCTTTTAATATCATGCTTCGGGCCTTGCGCTATGCACATTAAACTCAAAAAAGGAAAGTACCTATTTACTCTGAGGTAAAGTACCTATCATACTCATGTGTATTTTTTTGCAAATTAGGTAAGTGATAATTTTATTACACAAATATCTATACCTATGCAATTTTTGTGAATTGTATAAAATGTCTTAATTAATTATTTCTATGAAATCTGTAAAGGTTTGTATTTAAAAATGTTACGTTCTAAGTCTGCCAAAAAGAAATACCAATTTTTCGAAATTAACTTATTTATTAATTAAATTATAAATTAAGTGTGATTATTTTTTAATATTTAAATGAATTGAGAATTTAATGTAGTTAACCACCAAATTGGATGATAACCAACTCAAATCAATAATAAATCAAATCTCAATTTTAAAAAAAGAATGAAATTCTAAAACTTCGTAGTATTTTTGGAATCTTATCTATATATCAAATTTGATTATCCTGTGTCTAAGTCTAGATTAGAACATTAAAAAAGTACCTACAGTGACCTATATTTCTATATACCTATACCTTTATTTGGCATAGCAACCATGACCTTCTAACATAATTAATGTGACAATTTACTAGACAACTGCACACTGCAAATTGTTTATAATAAAAATATATTGACTTTTAGTTCATTTATCTATGTGATGTTTGTTTCCATTTTCTTCCGTCAAACGTCACAATGTAGTTTAGATTTTGCACAATAAAATACTAAAGTTCCATTACAAATAAGTTCGTTTGTTAAGAGACTAATAATAGAGAATACGTTTATGAATATTAAGAAGTCAATATACTTCGTTAAATTAAAATTCCTAATGTTGATTTTCAGTTAGTCTTTAAGACAACTAAAATTAATAATGGGCACATAACACACCTCAATAACAAAAAAACCCTCCCAAACTCAGTCCAAATCACTGATCAAATGTGAAGGTATTAACATCGTGAGGAAACCTGGATTTGTAAATTATAAATGCATCTCTAATCCATCTTGAAAAACCGTAGTGATGAATCCTCAAAATTAAATATTATTTATGAGGGAAAACGTCTTTGCTCAGCATTGAGCTTGTATAGGCTGATGCTGATCATCAACACGTCCAAACCTCTGGAGAATAATCAATAAGAGAAGGAATGGAACTCACATATGACTAATTCGACTAGTAAATGTAGTTCCGATAAAAAAAAACATAGTATTTTTTGTATATATCACGTACGTCACGTCACTCTTAATCCTTTCACATATCGTATATCAATGTAACCGCGTCCTTTTCTCAGAGTTACATGGGCAGGTGATTATATGACAGGTGCTCTAAACAAAATTATAACTTGCAGCTATACGCGTTGTAATATTTAACGCAATCATCGTATTTTTTTTGCACTTCCATATCTTGTATCATTTGTTTAAAATTGATAATAAAGCTGGTTATTTAAATAAAGTCGAGCATTAGCTACTTATCCTTTTTATATGGGTAGGTATGAATAGTGTTAATGCTATTTGTTTGCGTAGTGTTTGACATTGCTTAGTAACTAGATTTTGTTTTTGATAGATCGGCATACTAACAGACCGATCACCGGTAAGCAAAGACGCCGCTCGTGGACACTCGCAACACTAAAGGAATTTTGAGTGCGTTGCCCACCTTTTCTGGGTTGTCAGAGATTTCTAATAATCATCTGCAGTCCGTCTTAATCCACCAATGGACTGTAGCAAACCTTCAATGTGGAGGTTCCACAGAGATGACAGAGAAAGTGGGGAAGAGCTTCATCGATAAAAAGAGCATACAACATTTTTATCCATATCGCATCAAGGACAATGATTTCATCCGCGCGGGTAACCCAGATCCGCACAAGATCATAATCAAATTCACCAGCATAAAAAGTGAAATGCAACAACCGTAGTACAATTACAATAAGACACCTCACAAGTAAGTAGGTACAGTGTATCGACCCCGTTGCCCCCAATCAATCAACTGACAGTCCCCACTAAGGAGTAATCAATAAACAATTCAAATCGGTTACATTTTGAAAATAGCAGACATATGTTCAACACCTTTCATAAACCGGTCGGACGAAGGACATCCGCTTTTTGGTGGTTAAAAAAATCGAGTTCAACATTCTCACAGGAACCGCTGCGTATCCGGTGCGCGGGCGCCGAATAAAAACGATCATTTGTTAATGTCGGAGTTTTGGGCCACCAGGTAACCGCGCTGAGTTTGTGCGCTTTTTGATCCGTCAATGTCATACAGTGCAGAAACTGGTACTTTGAATACCTAATATGCAAACGTTTTTATATTGCGGTTATCAGTCAAGGTGTAAGGATATTGTCTCATTAGTTGATTAGTTGTTTTTAAACAAAGTAGAAACAATAAAGCCTTTAGTTTAATTTTAAAATATAACGAGTACCAAAAAATGAATCGTTTTAAATAGTTGACCATGATGTATCACCAAAAGCAGAGTTGACGCGTCTACTAGTCAGTAGACCATGCAGCCACCGCGTCAACTCTGCTCTCTCTCTCTCTCTGCAATGTGTCTCTATTCGATTCCCACGAATGAAACAACCTTTTATGTGATCCAAAAATTGTTGCCCATGATGTGCTATAGTGGTCCCTGTGTATATAAAATTGTATGTTTGTGAACGCATTCCACAGAAAAGGTTTTGGACATTGATTATCATCAAGGCCGATTAGTGATTTCCAACTTACCATATGAAATCATAAATTCAAGATTCCTCAACGAGATGTTTTCATCACCGTATGTCAGAGATGTAAGAATAAACTCAATAATAGAAATAAATACATAACTAACATTGGTTCTCGCCAGGGCTGAGTACTTTTTCTACGAGTTTTTTAACACAAGAAAACCCGTAAAACTGAAACATATATAAAATAATAACTTTTCTTTGTCCTGTTGGATTATCCAAAACCATCTAATGAATATCATAATATAATAAAATGTATCGGTTTTGGTCGGTTCAATCTATTTTCAATTCGTGTACAAGTTACATTTACCATGAACTAAATACAATCGCAGAAATTCAGATCGCATTTTTTGTTATCAATAAACACTAACCGTTACAAAAAAACTTACTTGTAAGTAGTTGTGAGTAGCTTTTACCTTTCAAAAGTAGTGCAACTATATCCGTGTGTCAACCGTCTACCAAAAATAATGTAAGATCTCTCTACAGAACGGTATGATGACCTCTAATCTACATACATACAAATGACTTCCACGCATGGACAACAACAATAATTCGAATGCTTTTCCAACTTATACCAAACACTCCTAAAGTTCCACTTAACTCTTAAAACTTACAACTTAAAGTTCAAAATGGAAGCGAAATTATTTTCGAGTCAGGTGATATCTGTATCGTTTTTGACGTTTGGTAATAGTTAAGTGAAAGGCTGTATACGTGAGAAAACCGACGCCTATTCGAACAATGCCATATTTTGCCGTCATCTGGGCCAGTGATCGATCTGTGTAAATATTTTATTCCCACTGTTGCATGTAAAGCGATGGTAGATAAGCACGTTACTATTTTTTCCAAAGCTTTAGTAGTAATATGCGTTGTATGCAATAGAAATTCACGGTTTTCACTAATTACACGGCGAAAGGAATTCGTAATGGGAAACGTTATGGTCGTTCTTAATCGGTCGAAAGAAACATTTTTATTTCGAAGATTTATCGGAGAAAACTCATTTTCGTCTCATTAAGTTAATAGTTGTAATGTTAGTATGCAGGTACACAACTTCTATACTTAACCGTGAATTACGATCGCATAATCTTCTTTCTTAGGTTTGAAATTGATTTTTGTCTCTTTTTTTTTTGGATGTCGTAATATCGGCAAACAAGCAGACGGATTACCTGATGGTAAGCAATCAGCGTCGCCCATGGACACCCGCAACGGAGGAGTTACGAGTGCGTTGCCGATCTTTTAGGGATTAGGGTTTTGGAGATTTAGGGATCGGGGGAGAGGAAGGATTGGGCCTCTGGTAACCTCACTCTCACGGCGAAACACAACGCTGTGGTTGAGGTGAGGCCGTGGTATCACTCCGGTCGAGCCGACCCATTCGTGCCGTTGCATGGCTATTTAATTTTTAATTGTCTTTTTAACTTATAATAAAGCATAATCCAAGAGTCTTACGCTTGACTCTCTTCTGTCGCAAATTGTGTGTGCAAAGAGTAAGTGCATGTCTGCGCAAGCGCAACTTATTACACACTTACATTTACCATTATTTATTCTTTCTTGCCTTATTGATTTCTTTAATTATTTTATGCTAAAAGTATTTTCTGCCAGTTATCCATTTGGTAGTTCAGAGATGTACATATGTGGTAGGTGGTATGCAGCAATTTAGGAAGTCATGGGAAGTGGGGTATACATTATTATACATGTTAAGGCAATTGAGTAACAAGATCATTTTATCAACGCGCAGCATTAAAAATATAAAAAGCTAACTGCTATGAAGGTAAGACACTGACATTGGATTGACCTCAACTGTCGTATATTTACTTAATGGAGGAAGGGACGAAAATAGAAAAATGTCACAGCTTGCACGACAAAAACATGAATGTGAAGAACTATGAAGCAAATATAGACTTTAAAAAAACCTACTAATATTATATAAACGTAAAAGTTTGTTAGTATTTATGGAATGATGTTTTTTATTCCTAGGTGGTTTTTTTTGATGGGCGAGGAAAATCATCCTTTGGCTTCTCTCTTCCTAGCGGCCCGGAGCTAGAGGTTCCTGACTGACCTGAGTCCGAGTGTCAGACTCTTACTGACTAAAAACCACCCCGTCCCTTCTCCTGCTCTAGGCCAAGGCCACGGTATATTATTGTGCCTGACCTGCTCTATGATTGTACGGTATATGATTGTATTGACCCAGAGCTGAACGTCAGCCTTGTTGGGCCCCTTCTGTGGTAGTTTAATAGCTCTTGGAGGCGTGCGCTTTTCGAAGACCAAGTCACGTTAAAACTACTTTATAGATTTTGATGAAAATGTCAAAATTTGGAATAACACAAGCTACTTTGATCTGAGTAAAGTAAATTATGAAATTTCAGTAAGAGTTTTGTATCTGAAGATAGCTAGGAGGTTGGAAAAATTGACTTCAATCTTTCTTTTTAGGACGAAATTGATGGCGGATTAATACTCATGCCTCTATTGCACGTGGTTATTCAAAATCAACAGCATTGGAGCGATGTGAGCGATGAAGCAGATGCTGCAGAAGAAGATGTAAGAAATATTTTATAATAGGTTAATTCTGAAGTGAATAAAGTCGTTCGTGTCCTAATAATGACAGTATATACGCCTCGAAAGAGTAATTTATTCCCATTAGTCAACGCAAATAAGCAAGCTTTCGGTAACGGAAGCTAACTTTGCATTCGTACGTCATTGAAGGTAGTCATGCGATCCTATATTTAACATTTCATTGTGACCTGAACTAAGTTGACCTTTTCAAAACAGTTCGAGGACCGTATTTGTTCATTTTGAAGGATTTATTGAAGTTTTTTTTCTTTTCAGTGTTTGTTTTGTGTTAGTTTGAATAGTGTTAAAAGAGTTGAGTCAAATATGGAAGAGAAGTACTGTTAAAACTTGTAATTACAAATAATTTTACTGACATTTCAAAATCTGTATCAACAGACCATGATCACCAACTGCTAGAAAGGGATGTTACAACTAAAGAGTTGAAAAAGGTATTGGATATGGATGATAGTAATTGAAAATCATATCTCTTTCCTCCATTTAAACAGGAAGAATGGAGATCGTAGTCTAAAATCCTTAAAACAGGAGTGCTACTTACGGCTCGATCTCTTTCAAATAGCTCTTAGTTGGCTCATATGATACCACTAGAAAGAGAAGCAGCAGTACCAAATATCCTAATCTACTATCATTCTGCCTAAATCACAGAGAAAACTCAATTCAATGTCCATAAAAAAATTGACGACCAAAAGAAAATAACGTTTGAAAACGATAAAGCGAATCGCACAATTACCGTGTTACGCAATAGTTCATGGGCTAACCACGAAGGTTGTTTGCTATTCGACTCTATTGTTGCGTAATCTGTCACGTTAAGAAGTATTAATGCCTTCACGTAACAATATACATACGTAATTATATTTATATGTATTATTTGCACGTGTATACTATCGGTGCTTGGAAATTATGGTCGGTTAGCTATAGGAACTCTTTTCTATACCATAGTACTTGTATTTTCATTACATTATTGTACACGGGGAACCAGATTTCAGTGTAAATGAACAAATAATATGTTGATTTGGTGAAAAGACTGTTGTTTTTTGCTTTCTGGGAAAACAGGTGCACTATAACTACGGATTTAGTGGACTTTTGTGCCATGTCTTTTATTATAAATACTATCTATTCTTATAGGGATATCACACTGCAATATAAGTAATAGTAGAACATATCAAACTATAATATTTGTTAGTTATTATGTTTTCGGCTTACTCGCGTAATTATTTGGCAAGGAACTCGACTAGTTTCGAGCCATGCTAGAGGCCCATATTCATGTGCAGCATTCTGTGGGCGCGTAATTACGGGAGTAAGCCGAAAACATAATAATTAATTTATTACACGAAAGTTATAATAAAAATATATTACCCAAGAAGTACCTACATATTTATTAAGAGGTTTATTGTCAAATTCATTGTTCCTCATCAAAATTACCTTCAAATCTTATATTATATTTTCTTCTTCAAAAAAACGTAAAACATATTATTACAATAATTGTCAACCGCAAATTAACAGCTGCAATTTCGTTCAAATACAACCACTATTTCATGTGCAATAAGATTTAATTTTCAATTTCTGACAGTTACAATATGTTATAACATTAGAAGATAATAAATTAATATGCATGTCAGTATGCTCATTAGTTACAAAGAAGTTATTAATCAGCTGTTTAAGCTTATAATTATAGTTTCACCCGCGGCTTTGCTCGAGTGACCTTAACAGTTACGCAAAATTCTTTATTGCTCAATTCTAACTGAATGTATTGATGATTTGGTCATTGTGGCGTCATTAGTTTTTGTAATATTATAACAATAAAAGTGTATGTCAGACTTTTTGGGTTTGATTTGGAGATCGGTAAAATTGAAATTTTCACTAAATTTAGCGCGATGTATGGTTATTTCATCTAGGTGCTAGATTTGGGTAAAATAGGTTTTTTGTAGGGGACAATTAGTAAGTATGATTTAGTTGGTCGTGAATATGAATTAAGAATTTGAAGTAGCCTTTGTTTATGGTACAAAACGAGGACTGTATATCATGTATTTGACTAGAGGTATACATTAGTTTAAAGTTTAACGGGGACTTCCAAATATTTCAAGATTTTCGAAAATATATAATAAGTATTTATTTTTGAGTCTATATTTAAAACTCATGAAAATTAACAGCAATTAATATTGCTTTCTTTCTCATAGCTTCTTAGACGATAATTATTAAATACCTTTTCTTTCATTACTAAGGGATACTGTGGTAGGATTATATGTTCGCTAAGCATAATGACAATAAAATCAAAGACCTTTTTCACATTTTATTATTCTTTGACTAACCCCTGACGCACCTAAACCGAGGCACGTATGTCCACGCGGGGCGGTACGAAGAAGATCGAAAATAAAAACTCCCCCCGCGGGGAGGGATTCATCCCCCAAACATATTACGGGAATGTTGGTAGGCCGAGGTCCCGGAGATCCCGATTTTTTTTGCGATAATCAACCGGCCGTTTCCCGCCGCGGTTTATTGCAAATTGTGGCTAAAACTGAAAATGTGGGTACTTGAATTGTGTTATAAAATCTTATTCTGATGATGGTTATTTCGTAAGAAATCGTTTGTAAATACTTTTGCTGCTTTGAATATTATTGTTATTGATATTTTCGCGTCATTATCTAAAGTGTTTGGAAAAGTATTAAGAGTAAATTCCACTTTCATTAGTACTTGTGTTTTTAGATATTTTTCGGTCTTAATTGTTTCAATCTCCGCTAACGAAGTTTGTTTAGTCGTACTTCGATTAGAAGCTACTTAACTACTTTACTACCATGTACGGGCCTACAGTTTCATAAGACATGGTGACCCAAAACATTTCGAGGGTCCTCACAAATACGCCAAATATACAGAAACAGATTCGGGTCAACAAAGAGACTTCCTTCTTAGCAAAAGTGAAAACAAATCGTAAATACGAGGCAAAAGAAACAAAAGATCACTTGGTACCTTTTAAAGCATTTATTTTGTACAAGCAATGTAAGTAGATAGATACTCATTCAAGTTTGTTTCACTTCCGATCCTAAAAGCTGGAAGCTTGATAAAAATGGAAGCCCGCCATCCACATGAACATCTTCGGGCACCTATATTAAGCTGGTGTTTTAACTTCACTCAGGTAAATAAAATGAAGATAGCCGTGAAAGCGAATGCGAGTCGTATCAACAGAATTCGTTCGCGGCCCCGAAATGGCTTTTCTATTCAATTTTCGATAGAGATTTTTTACCTACCCGCAGTTTTGCGTACGGCGGAACCAATAAATCTCCTCTCGAGGTAAGGGGCGAATTAATCAGTTGACTAGTTCGACGACCGATCCAAAGACTGATCCCTGCCTTCACAGAAATGTGAACCGAAATGTGTCACAGAATAGGTTGATGTTCCGTTGTAGGTACAAGCCGTTTTTATTTACCGCAAGCAAGGTGAAAATAAGAAGTGGGAATAAATAGTAGGGCCTCCGCCGATACACTCTGAGGAGATTAAAGTGTTCTGGTGGTTAGGGATCACCGGTGTAATATAAATTAGGAAAATGTTGATGTTTGTTTTGGCCAGAAAGTAATGGTCAACTTGCGCACGCAAGCTGGTTCCGCAATGCCCCGTTTTAATAAATAATAAAGCTAATTTTACACGCCATAAAATGAAAAAAATCACTTGATTAAATTTTAGGAAAGCCCGAAATTTAAAAGCCGCGTTGTTTCCCGCCCATTAGGGTTAGGGAGGGTGGTAGGCGCTGAGCGGGTGGACATCGGGCTCGAATTAATAAACAAGCCGGCCAAGGGCACGGGCTGCATGACCTTTGGGTCTCTCCTTGTCCTCTGTACCTGTTACCAAGTGCTGGTTATTTGCTGGAACCATCTAATTGTAAACTAAATTTATGTCGAAAAAAAATATAAAACAAGCATTTTCATAAAAAAGGAGGTAAAGCTAGTAAAAAAGATACTTTAAAGAAGATGATCGTTACAAAGAGCAAATCCTCAATTCGCTATAAAACGTCGCGCTGAGAGTGGGTGCTCCCGCGCGGCCGAGGAAACGTTGTCATTCAAAATCAGACCACGTGTACAATATTTCATCATCAGGATGGGTGGCGGCCCCCCTTCGGGCCGGCTATCCCTTTCCCCGTCGCCACCCCTTACGCCCGACCCAAAAAGTCTATCTGCACTTGACACGGGAGGAAACGGGACAGATTAACCGTAGTGAAGGGAACAAAGCTAAATATGTTTCAAGCTGATACTTACCCTTGCACAGTATATACTTGATTTACAGAACAAGGATTTAAGACGCTCTCAAGTAGCTATGGGAAATATGATTACATACGTACCGAGATCGGTAATTAACTTGACATACTTGTCTAAGTGTTCTGCAAGTTTGTAAAGTGATTTGATCAACGTATCTAAATTGCAAATAAAGCCTTTTTATATAAAGAAAAATTTAGTGAATAATTATTTAAGAATTAAGTAAAAAAATATTAGGTACATAACGATATGGCTAACCGTTAAAAGAGCCAAAATAAACGCTACTCAGTCGAATCTCCGATTTTCTCTGTTTACTGTTGCTCGCATAAAAGTAACAATGCTGAAAAAGGATGGAGGAATGAAATGATGGAACCATTTTCAGTCTACGGTGAGACCCACACACCGAACACTGTTTACACTGCTTTACGCACACATCCTTACAATACTGGCGTGAAAAGTTGAGCAGTAATTTATATGACGGTTTAAATAATTACTTCGCGTTTTCGCCTCAATTTGTAGATGAGCTTGTGCCATATCTGTGTTGCTGACATTTATTCGCATTACTTTTGCAGTGTGGTTTGAATATGATGACGTCACATATTTTACTGGTAACTTTATTGCTCGGAGGTAGTGTTAATTAATATTGTTGCGGAATTTATATTTTTAGGCCCATACAAGGCTTTGTATATAAATTTGAGCGTTCGTTTTGCTGTTTATGATCATAAAAAT